GGCCTCAGCATGGCCGGAGAAGTGGTGCGTCGGTGTGCGCCCGGGATCTGAACCCGGGCCGCCAGCAGCGGAGCATGCGCACTTAACCGCTAAGCCATGGAGCCGGCCCTAAGATGTATTCTTGTTTAATAACAAACAAAGATTCTAAATAAGGATCTGAAAAAGAGTCACCTTTCCTCCAATACCAAAGGTTGATATACAAGGAGAAATAGTCCTTTTAATTCTTGAGAGAGTGCATATCCTCAAGTGCCACTTCTACAGGATCTTCAAGTAACAGGATTAACACATGTTCAACTACAGAAGAACTGGGTAGATGGATCCATTCTACTTTGTTTCTTAAATCTGTTAGATTATAAGTAAAGTAATCTAGTACCTACATGAAAACATCCCAAGTTTTTAAACACAAGTTTGCTAAGTAATATATCTACCTACACCCACTAAAAACAAGGTAGATGTGGAAAGAAGACGAAAGTAAAAAAAAGACAATTTTCAAATATCCAATTTGATTTACTGAAATGAAAATGAAATTCAGAGTCATTACTCACCAGCATTTAAATGACATTCCTTAATCTGAAACTGAAGTTCGTTTTCATTGGGAATATCCTTCCATGTTGCAAGGAAGACCTGGCGCTCTGTACGGGGAAGCAGAGGGAAAGGAAGGATGTGCACAATCTGTCAATATTCTGATTTCTGATGCCTTGCACCATTTCTCCTTTGGAGTGCTATCTCTTGCAATACAGCCAGGAGTAGCCTGGGACTGCAGCCAATTCTTAGCTATTCAGAGGTGCTTCACTCCACATCAATTAATTCCTCATCAGTAGCACTAAGATACATTGGAAAAGAGTTTATAGCTAGAGTATAGTTTTGGCTCCACTGTTTCCTATTTGGTGACTTTGGGTAAGTCTTGTGACCTTTTTGATCCTTAATTTCATCATATACAATTACATCTGTCCTGCCTACCCAAAGAGCCATTGAAAGAATCAAATCAATTAAGTGCCAATACAATTTAATATGTACCAATATAAGCTAGTTTTATTAGATGGTGGTTTCAGGAGTAAGGGAAGAGAGAAATGTCAACAACCACATGGGGAGTATTAATGGTTTATTACAAATTACTAAATTCTTTTTTTTTTTTAATTGCGGTAACATTGATTTATAACCAAATTACTGAATTCTTATCTTGAGACAGTAAGAACTTAGTATAGGGCTAAGTGCTAAATTTGCATGTATTATCTCATTAAGTCATTATAATAAAAACTATTTCTGATTTGCAAATTTGGAAACTGAAACTCAGAAGAGTTAAGCACCTTGCCATGGTCACACAGCTAATAAACAGATAAGCTGAGATTCAAATCCACATCTACTTGTCACTTACTCTGTATGCTGGGGTGACTGGATCATTCAGATAACCAGCATTGTGATTTAGAGACCAACAGCAAAGCAAGACCAACTGTGACTCAGGCGAATAAATAATTAGCAATTATTAGAGCTTTAGAATAGCCTTACCCCATTTTTTTTAAACCTCAAAATAACTGGTACTTCTGGGCTCTGCTCTGCCTGACATTCAGAGGAAGGGCAAAGGTATATTTGGCAGAAGGAGGATGTACTTACCCATTTTGCCATCTTCTACAAAAAGCACATTGAGTGGGATGAGGCAGCTGAAGTAGAAGACATCAATATTGTTTTTCACAGCCACCTGCCAGGAAAGTAACAAGGGAAAATTAGGACATCATAGGAAGCCAGGTAGGAGGGAAAGAACAGTTATGCGTCTAGAAATATACAACCCTATTTCCTTTCTCTTTTACACAGTGCAGGACTCCTCAAATCAAGACACACCAGCCCATACACTGCAAAGCACATCCTTACTCATTCCACTGTCAGAGTACTGTGACAACCTGCAACTCTGTCTCTCTCTAGGAGGAGCCCCAGGAGGGTTGAATTCAAGGCACGCGTTCTGTACCCAGAATAATCTATTCAGTTATTTTTTGTTTCTACTGTTATTAATAGTAGCTGCTGCTACCACTTACTAAGTACCTACTAATGATATTATTTCTAATGCTCATTATTACTATCCCAAACAAAGTAGGTGTCAATCCCCTCTCGTTTTACAGATGAGGAACTGAGGTTCACAAAGTCTGAGTAACATCCAGGGTCACACTGCTAGTAAACAGAAGAACCAGGATCAAATGCAAATTTGTCTGACTCTACACCTTTTTTTTTCTCTCCACAATAACTGGTGCTATACTGTCCCTTACATTTTTTTAAGATACTGGTTTTAAAGTTGTTTCTTTCATAAAAATCTTATTTCCTAAGTCCCATGGTTGGAACAAGCTTGTTAGGTCAAACACTGGTAAATCTGATGACTATAAGAAGGAAGTCTTCGAGTAAGTAAAGAGATGAGCTGTCTTCTCACATTACCAGCTTCTGAGTTAGGCAGGCTGTGATTCTACTGTGCCCATTCAATTCACAGCATGCTGTTTATACTTTTAAAAAAGCTACGATAAGTATTTTCATCCAGAGGCAACACTGATTGGTGTATATATTCAGAAATAGGCAGATTCTACTATGGCAGATTATAAGAACCACATAATGTAAGAAGGGAGAGTAGGAGAATTGCTCTAAACCGCCACTTCTCTCTGGTTTCTGTCACTGGTGGCTTTCCATCTATGCTCTTGGCACCGTAGGAAAACATTTCTCTGGGCAAGTTCTATAATCTGTAACCATGCCTATTTCTCTTTCACTTTGCTCTAAGATAATAAAGGGAAAAAAGTGCTTATCTAGCACCACTATCCCCGTCGCTCCCTTTTTGGGGCAAATGTCCACACTTCAACATCATCATCTATTTCCTCATCAAACTTTGGCTATAAGATCCAAATATCCTCTTTCCGAAGTACTTGCAGTTCCCTTACATTTATTATCAACTCACCTTCTCCACCTTAAATAGTACCTTTATTTCGTACTCCATAATTTGGTTATGCCTACTTGACACAGTCTTTCTGTTCTCTCTCCCAGAAAAATCCATCAAATTGCTTTCCTTGTCACTTGTGCTTTTAACCCTTCAATCACCAACTCCTTGGAGTTTCTGACCTATATCACATAATGTGATGCTTAAAATGCTGAGACAGCAGGATTCTCAAAAAGCTTGAGTCTGGTGAATGCAAACAGAGTAACTAAACTTAGGAAAGAGGGACCTTTGACATTCTTTTAGATGTACTAGAGCACCACTTCAAAAGATTCACACCAGCTGTGGGCGTCTGGGAAAGAGGTATTTTCTAATTCATCTGGTATTCAGCAATGAGAGGAAAACTCTTAGTTCAAATAAGGGCAGCAAGAAGATCTTGAGGTAGTGCCAGGCTCTATAAGAGGCATCTAGAAGTGAAAACTGGGGTGGTGTGGGTGGGCTAGTGTGGATTATATAAAGGTCTTGTGTGAAATGTGAGTGATTTTCACTACTATCATCTTTGATTATAAAAGCAGTCATATTTCAAAATGTGCCATTCATTTAAACATTTATTAATGTTTACTATGTCCCAAGCATTTGAGATATAAGAAAGAATAAAGAAAATATAATCCTGTCCTCCAGGGGAAAATATTAGTGCTTCTTAAACCAAAGACTTATATCAGACTCATCTGGAGAGATTTTTCAAAACAGATGCCAGGGCTCCATCCTATATAAAAGAATAACAATCTGTAAATCTGGGACCTGGCCTGTGTATTTTGGAAAAATTCCTAAGAAGAACAACCAGAGAAGCAAATAATTTAGAACAATGTTACCTAAGAAGTCTGCAGGGGCTTGTAAATAACTTGTTCTTCTGAGGAAATTCTTATTCCACTTGAAGCCGTTTAACAACGCAAAAGACAAGAAAAGCTCCTCTAGGTCAGCAGTGCTAAACCGTTCTGCCTTGAGGACCCTTTTGACAAACAGATGAAAGCCACAGACCCTCCTCCTGAAAAACGTACATGCAACATTTTGACATACAATTTCAGGGGTTTCAGGACACCCTAAAGACTACCCCGGGACTACTGCTCTGGAATAACTCTGAGAAGCTGGGACACCCAAATCAGAGGCAGCAGACAGTGGTTCAGAACGTGAACTTGTGAACCAAACCAGACCACCTGATTTCAAATTCTGACTCTGTCACTTATTGCTATGTGACTTTGGGCAAGTCGTACAGCCCAGTTCTCTGTCTGTAGAATGGAGATAACAACAGTACGGACCACATGGGTTGTTATGAGGATAAAGAGTTAACATTTGCTGGGGCCAGCAGGGTGGCGCAAGCAGTTAAGTGCGCACGCTCTGCTTCCACTGCCAGGGGTTCGCAGGTTTGGATCCTGGGCGCACACCGATGCACCGCTTGTCAACTCATGCTGTGGCAGCGTCCCATATAAAAAAGTAGAGGAAGACGAGCACGGATGTTAGCCCAGGGCCAGTCTTCCTCAACAAAAAGAGGAGGATTGGGATCGGATGTTAGCTCAGGGCTGATCTTCCTCACACACACACAAAAAGAAGAGTTAACATTTGCAAAGAACTTAGAATGGTGCCTGGCTTATAGTTAAGTACTATAATGAGTGTTCATTCACGACTCCCTTCACCATCTTCTGTTTTACCTTTTTACTCAGAATTTTTCGTAATTAAGGATAACCACATTAGACTTATCTAAAATCTTACACATGCTCAAATGTAGTACTACTACTATGCTAAAAAGAAATCAGAAGAGAAAAAAGGTTATTAGCAAACTGTTAGCTTAATCATTCTTCTTGCTACTGTGCCCTTGTTAAATATCTTTTTATAGGCTCAACTGCACAGGTCACTCTTTGGGGGAAATGTTTCGTCTCTTTTACGTTAGCTTTTCAAAATCTGCATTTTACAGCTCTCAAACTTTTACTCTTGGCTAGAACTGCGGTCACTTCAAGAATACATGATTCCTTGGATCTGGCCGCTGCCTATCTCTCCAGCCTACTTCCTTAATTTCAACCATATCAAAATTACTTCTTGTTCCCCAAACACTGAAACTCACGGCTCTGTGCCTTCTTACATGTTGTTCTTTCTGCTTAATATATTCTTCTCCTGAAGGTTTAGCTGTCTGGAAAATACTTATTTAATCTTCAGATTCAGTTCAATCTTGAGATTTCTCAAGAAAGCTCTAATCCCTCTCCATAGAGCCCAGTATATACACTTGGAGAGCATGAAATAATTGTTTACATCTGCCAGACCCACAATACAATGAGCTCCTTGAGCATAGGAGCTCTCATTTTCACTAGCACACTAGTAGTTCAATAAATATTTGTTGCATGAAATTAAGGGTAAGATGCTGAACAAATGGAATGAAACACTGGTTTCTCAACCTTGTTTCTACCTCTACGTCATTCACATGTATAATATAATCCCATCAGTAACATCTCTCATTAGGCACAATGATACTCTATGACGCAGAGATGGGGGAATGGGATGATATATGGGCTTTTTTAGTTTCAAATCACTGAGCTAAAAATAACATCTATACGCTAAGGAAGAATAAAATAGGAGATCACAACCCAAAGAATACTAGATTCTCCAAGGATATGCCAATCACTTTTGGGGAGTTTAGGGAAAAAAAAATCAAGGGAAAAACAGTATGAAGTCAGTTCAATTCCAATCCAGATGGCGGCTACTCTTAAACAGAATTGCTTTGGAGGGAGGCAGGGGAGTTCTTTGTTTTCTTATTTTGAAATTCACTATCTCAACAGGTACAGAATAGGAAGATAATCCAGACAAGCTGGAGAACTGTTTTCCAAGAGCTTTAACATCAATGCCTAGCTTGCCTATGGGAAATCAATTATGACATATATATCTCCAACTGCCTACATAGTATCTTCACTTGGATAACTAATATCTCAAAATGAACATGTCCAAAACCAAATTCATCTCCCCTCCTTATCCCTAAACAGAACCTCCTGCTGTCTTTCCAAACTCAGAAATTGGAATACTGAAAAGCCTTTTAATGGTCTCCCTGCTTCTGCATGTCTCCCTGCCCCTTAACACCTAGCTTTTCCAGTCTATTCTCAACACAGCAGCCAGAGTGATCTTAAAATGTAGGTCAGCTCATAAATACTTCTCTGCTCAAACCTCCAATGATTTCCCATCTCAGAATGAAAACCAAAGTTACAATTGCCTATAATCTGATACCTATTACCTCTCTGATGTTATGTGCTACGACTGTCTCCCTGCTAGCTCCATGTCAGCCACAGTAGCCTGCTGTTGTTCTCTGCACATACCAGGCATGCTCTCATGGCTTTCTGCATTTGTTCTTTCTTCTGTTGGAATTCTCTTCCTCCAGAAATCTGAATGGCTCCATTCCTGGCCTCCTTTAGGTCTTTGCTTTAATCAAATATTACCTTTTCACGTAGGTCTTCCATGACCAACATATTTATAAAATTACACCACCCAATCTCCAACCCCAGGACTCCCTATACCAATCTCCGTTTTATTTTTCTCCATTGCCTTCATCTGAAATACTATTTTACTTATTTATTGGCTTATTGCCTGTCCTTGTGTCACATACCCTTTCCAGTAGAATAGAAGTTCCATGAAAGAAGGGATTTTTGTCTCTTGTTCACTATTGTATTCGCAGTTTCTAGAATAGTGACTGGCACAGACTAAGTACTCAATAAGAATAATGACTGTAAAATATACTACTCAAAGTTCCTGACAACTAA